GAGTCGGAATGGTGATATACGGGCACTTGCTTGCAACTGTTGCGCTGCACGAAAGATAAGTACGAGTACAACAAATTTTGCATGTATGTACTTCCACTTGCCAATATTAAAAGGTTTGGATAGAATTGATATGAGCCAACAGTTATAAAAAGGTGTCTGACATGCAAATGAGGACACTACAGCACAGTGGGTGCTGGAACAAGAGCTGGTTTCCAATTACCACAAATTGTGGTTTTAATCAGAGTTTTGAATGAATTTAAAAGTTATTTCCTTCACTATGGTCAGAATTATACACCAGGATTATGAACACAACCCTAATTTCCAAAGGAACCTAAAATAATGATAATGGGCACTGAGAGACACGAGGCCAAAATTGTTTCATATTCCCCCAAATAAAGAAAATATGTTTAACCTGAGTAAAAATAGGAAAACACATCAATCAAATATTGTCTGCAGGTTACCCTTCAGGATCCTTGCTTTTCCTTGTCAGGAACTGAGTGTGTCATTTGTAACAAGAGGTGCGATATCGAACCCCCAGAGCGACACAATCTTTGTCCCAAATGTGTATCAAGACATTCTCGTCTCTTTTGCTCTCTGCTGCTTAACAAAGCATTTGTGGAAAAGAAATTTAAAAGAAAATACAATTTAAACCATCTTGCTTGTGCTCTTCACCTTCTAACCATTTTGTTAAATGCTATTGGCTGCTAGACATTTTTGGAATGATAGTTTGTACTGTCTGTGTTATCAGTCCAAATAAAGGTTGCTGCTTAATGTGGACCCTTAATCAGGGCTCTTCGTGTACTCTGTCAATGATTGGGTCCAGGATGGAGGTATAAAAACAGCTTTCAAATATTCAAACGTTTCACCCACTGACATCCGCTACATTTTATGAGCTGATATTCCACCAGCACGTTCTTTACTAATGCGACCAGCCATTCGCAGGTTGTCATTTTAAGGGAATATGCGGGTGTCAGTGGGTGAATCTTTAAAAAGTGTACAGGTATCTATATCCAGGACCCAAGAGAAGGGCCTTGTTTACGGGTCTACTGCTTCATGCTGCCAGCTCTGGTCAGATTGAATCAGACTACAGCATGAGGATTTGTATTGTTACGTCTGTAGATTGATGGCAACTTTGCAAACATGTAGTAGTAATGTGCATGCTCCTGCTTTATTTGCATATTTCATGGAAAAGGTCCAGTCGTTGAGTATAAGTTACTAGAAATAGCTTCAGTGGTTGGCATGATGGGCTAAAATTAAAATACCAATATAGACCTACAGTGCAAATTTTGAAATTTTTAATTTTGAAACCTACTTAATGCCCCTGTCTGATTACAATGTAACAGTTAGGCAGCTTACCTCCATCAGAAATTTCTGCCTGCAACAGCTTATCCTTTACATGCTTGACACATTTCCCATGTCGAGTGATGAACAACTCAATTTTCTTCCATCATGTCCATGATGCATGCAAGTTAATATACAGCCTTACGTTGCAGGCAACACACCAGGCATTGCCAGACTCAGCGTCATGAGAGTCTTGAGGATCTTCCAGAAAAAAAATCTTTTTCTAGCCCAGAGCTTTTTAGGCGAAGAAGATGAAGCTTCAGAGGGAGAATCTTCGTGTAACTTTCGTTTATTAGCAGCATTTAGACGTTTAAGAAACTCCGGTGGTACTACTAGCATGTCTCGTGAAAACACTTGTCGGTCACTTTGCCCCATTTCCACTGAACCCTATTACCATTCGCCCCATTTCCCCTTTGCCCCATTAATTACCGTTCATTCTGTTCTTCAGTAGCAGAGACATAGGCCTAGGTGCAACAAGTAAAAACATCGACGTTTGAGTACGCAAATAACAATTGGATAATCCAACTTTCAAAGGCCTAAAAACCATTCATGTATGTGATTCATGTATGTGATCCGTCACGCATCGAAAAAAATCGATGTTAGCAAGGTTTCTTCACGTTAACTCTTAGTATCTTGTCTATGCTTGTTTTTATTTATTTCATCAGTTTCATTTAGGCTGTTTTGCTCGTACTTGAAGCGAGCATTTTTCCACAAAATTTCCTGCGTGCCGAGCTTCATCCGATCGTCCGGGTACAACTGTCCAGATGCATCGACAATTACGAGAATGATGTGAATAGAATTGTGTGTGTCGCTCTGAACTAAACTTGAAGAGGATGAGAAATAACCCCGATGCTAGTCCAACCATATGCATTAATTCACCATAATGGACAACTAAGGTGACATTAATTTAATGCCGTAGAGTTTTCTATAATAACTAAATGTCGTTTCATGTCGTCACGGTGGAAAACCTGGACCTGTTTGAAGAGGCTTGTAACACACTCAAAACGGACGGCAAATTTGAAATGGGGAGAAGTGGGGATGGGGCGAAGTGGGAATGGGGCGACGTGGGGATGGGGCGAAGTGGGGATGGGGCGATGTGGGGATGGGGCGACGTAGGGTGGGGCGATGTAGTTAGGGGCGAAGTGGTTCGGGTTTACATGAAAATGGGGCGACGTGACGGTAACCGTGAAAACTAATGTACATGATAATGTACTGGTACATGATAATGTACATGTACATGCTTCGCCACGAAAATGGGTTTAGCGTCCTCGAGCCCAAAGATCGTATAGCGCCGTGCAGCGGCGCCTTCAGCGCTATATACGATCTTTGCTCGAGTCAAGTTGTCCCCCAAAATTAAAACCCTGGCAAGTCGTTCCCGGGTCAAGTCGTCCCCAAGTCCAATCGTCCCTGGGCCAAGTCGTCCCCCATTAGTTCTTACAGATTTCGTCTGTGCATGTAATTTTCTTTTTAGATGCATCAACCATACGTAGAAGACAAAGAAAAACAAGACAGAGACTCGAACATGTACTCACAATTTTCATTTGTTCTACGCAGCTAGCTGGTTGCTTTTGAAAGCTACGTTGACCAAGACATGCCTCATATATTTATTAAAAGGGCAATTCCTGGTGTGTGCCAAGGTAACAGCACTTAGGCCTACTCTTTGAATTGTTAAAGCAACTTGAACATCTTCAAATTTAAAATCTTCCAGTATAGTCATAATAAATTGCCCCCACAGTAAATTACCACGGTAAAAACTTGATAAGTGAAAAATAAAATAAATTACCCCCGCAGAAAATAAGTTGCCGCAGTAAAAACGTGATAAATGAAAACGAAAATAAAAATAATAAAAAAAAAAATATCCGTCCTAAATACATTTCTGCTGTAAAATCATAATTATAATTTAATTATTTATTTGGGGAACGACTTGACTAGGGGACGAGTTGGCATACACAGCTGACATAGTCTGTGCAGCGTGCAGGTAGTCCCTCGCACTCGGTTTGTTCGGTGACACCGCCACCTCTGCCACATTAATCAAGCCACTCTTTGGCACATGAAGTGACCTTTCTCCATCAGGCATTCGTAAGGGCTTTTACTTTTTCAAACTTGTCTGATTCTACACGCATATAACGCTTGAAATTCGTTGATGTTGACGTTGAGGCGCACGCCGTCCGGTCCGCATCGTCGGACGTCGCCATGTTTACTGCTTCGTGTCATGACCCACGACCCACGACCTTCGTTCTGGGCTCGGATTGGACAATGTGCATCACATGGTCAGATTACATCATTCGAAAACGATTTTTAAACGTGGCGAATTTCGCACATAGCGCTTCCCCGACGGCAAATTAATTCGCTCTTTCCACCCAAATTATTAAAATAACCGCAGGATAACTCGTGGAGAACTTTTGCGTTTTTCATCTGTGGTAATTTATAATGTACTCGATTCTGTTCAGAAAACTCTATTCCTGCAGTTGCTGGAACGAAACAAAAGAATTTAGGGGTTCCGCTGACGGCCAAAAAAGAAAGAAAATATCCAACATCAAATTTGCTTTTGCCGTCGTGAATAATTTATTAAAGATTGTGATGCACTTTTCCATTATCAATGCAATGTTTGTAATTTTATTTTGTCACTCCGAAACATCAGTTTTCAAAGCCTTTGTACGAATTTGGCTAAGACTGGCCAACGACATGTTGACCACTACAGGATAGTTAAGTTTACGAAACACAAAATGCGCTGTTTCATCACAAAGAGTGATCATGAGATCCCATTAAATACCTTTTGTGTAAATTCAGTAATAAATATGATTCAGATAAAACACAAGATCTTACAAACAACTTGGCCATTTATTCCCAAAATAAGTCCAAAAGAAAGCGTTCGATAAGGGCAGTAACTGCACATGGACACTTACGGCCCACAGCCTAATACAAGCAACTGCGCAAGCATTAAATCAGATGTCAGATTTTATCAAGCACCAACGATTGCATGAATATTCAACTTCCTATACTGCAGTACACAACACTTTAAGGATGCAGATTAGCACTGAAAAACTGCGGCAATGATCACTGCGCTCCTGCCATGGACATACCAGAAAGCGGTAATTGGCCAGATGTTGAAGCCCGTGCAGTTCAAACTCCTTTTGCGTCCTTCCATGGTGTAAAACACCCTTTCAGTCCTAAACCGGTCGGCAAACGAGCAAAGTCAAAGCCCAAGCGTACAATAATGACTGACGTTCTAAACGATATTTTCTACTGCAGGTGGTTGGGATGGGAGGACGTGGGCTTGCTTGAAAGTGAATTCACTGAGAGCCAAATATGAATCGATCCGACCAGCTCAACTGCACGGTCAAAAGTGATTTCTCAGCCCCTTGACACTGTCCTTTCTTCACTCTTACGTCAGAAAACTCGTATCTTTTCTATTTCTACCTCCTAATAAACAACCAAAATGGCAATGGAAATGTCAGCGCCTTGCCGGAACTGGTCCGTCTTAGAGGATGCGAGGTGGAAAGTAAGGCGGTCTGACGTAATTGCACAGTTTTCCCTCATGATGTGGATGAGGTCGTCGAAACGCAAGAATCCTGCGTACGAGATGACACATATAAACAGTACTCGTAGGTCGGCCAAGGAGGCTTGCGGATGACCAAGCTGGGTGAACAGCTGAAAAAAAAATTCGTCGGCTGTGATGGGTTCTTTTCGAGTAGTCTGCTACAAAATTGCACTCTGGTGAACAAAGGAATGGTCAAGCGAGCTGGTTGTTAATAGAGGGCACCAAAAAAGGGTTAATAAACTGCTGGGTGTAATGCCAGATTTATTGGCATCCGAAATAGCAATATCGACTACCAAACGGTCAAATACCTCCATGTGAGGAAAAAAAAATATTAAACGAGTCCCGACACAAACCGGTATCAAATAACCAGTCGAGGTAAAGAACCTCTGCACTCGTATAAAGGTACATATAAAATTACAAACACTGCTGGCAATATCAGAGTTCCGAACAACAAAACCCTTTCTTAAAATTCCGGGGTGGGATTATATGATCAATTCTAAGGGCCAGTGACAAAGATTTCGGAGACCGACTGAAAATGGAATTTGGGTCCAAATGTGGGGGAGTAAATGAAATGCGTAACAAGCGCCAATCATGAATTGAGTTACAGAGATGAATGCCATCGAGGCACAAAGAGGGCCAAAAGTAGGCCGTTTTCCACTTTGGCGCAATTACAGTGCCGCAACCTACTCAGTCGGTAAGGTGTTTCAGAGTGTGTACTATTAGACGTATTTGGGGGCACAAATAATTATTATCACTGGACAATCGAAACAGAAAGCGTCTACACCTGCGCTGCTACGGCACCAAAGTCGCGAATTAAACCTTGGAATTTTGAAATTATCCGAGGAGGCGAATCGGTCGATCGAACGTGGGTCCCAAAGTGCATCAATCATAGCAAGAGTCGAGTGATCAATTGACCAATCGTCATAATCCAATATCCTGCTGATACTGTCAGCGATGTGATTGATATTACGGGGCACCCATTCTGGCACGGTGACAATATTTTGTTTGATTGTCACTTGAAAAATGGATAACGCTAAGTTCTGCAAATCAGGCTTGGGGCTGCCGCGCTCGAGTATACGAGGTACATTGCTATTGTCAGAATACCAGCGTACCTTTTGATGAGACAATTCGTCACAAAAATTGGAAATTATTTGCCCAGTAACTCGGGCGAGAGATTTAGGACAAGTATGCTTGTCACGAGAATGAGCGGAAACGAGGTCGTAGAAGTTTTGGAAAAGCTTGTGCATTTTTGACTCTGGTACTGAAAAGGTTAAGGATTTGGAATCAATAATGAGGCCCTAGAATTTGATCGAAGTTCGAGGTTGCCAGACGCATTTACTGGAAACAAAACCACCTAGTATGAGGGTTTGTTTCACTATGGCCGAGTTACGTTGGGCCGATTGCAGGTTTGGAGATGATTAAACCGTCATCAATGTACATAAAGGAAGGGATTCCTTGGGAACGCCAATGGTATATAAGGCGTCTGGTAAGTTTAGTGAATAAATAACAAGCGCCAGAAAGCCAAAAAGGCAACACCTAAAAAGCACATTATCTGGTTTTGGGATTTTTGAATTGCCAAGCGAAACCAACTTAAAGGTATTTTGGTGGAGAGGAAAAATATCTACGTGGTGGTACCCGGACTCTAGATTGAAAGAAAAAAATACTGATTTTTATCAAGGACCTGAGACACGAATCTAAGATCTTCCTATTTAACTTTAGAATGGGGAATGAATTGGTTTGGATGACGAAGATAGAAAACCAACCAGAATTTCTTCCCTGTTGCGACTGTAAGACGATTGTAACAGTAGGATGGTTGATTAAGCTCGTAAATGCATCGATTAATAAGCTAAAAAAATCGCAGTTTCAACGAACTCAGGGTTATCGAGACTGGACTTATTATTCTTAGCCGTAAAAAGCGGCGGAGCAAAGACCAATGGAATCTTATAGCCTGAATCAATTACATCTGTAACAAAGTCACCTGGTAATATCCAACACATTTCGCCAATAAGGCAAGCAACGGTTTAGCCTACCTTGAACACCCTCCGGAACTTTTTGGTCGCTCTGGCTGACCTCCCACTGTCTAAGTCCTGTCTGCTGATCCGGCTGCTTGCCGTCCTGGTTGTCGCTGAAGAGACCGATAGGAGGGGCATGTTGCACGGATGTGACCTTGAAGTCCGCAGTGGAAACAGATGCGGTTGTCGATGGACAGTCTGAATGGACGAAAAACAGGCTGGTGCTAAGCAGCAGCAAAGTAAGGAGTCGTAGGTCTGGTAGTATACGTCGACGAGGTGGCTCAGCTGCTGCTGGCTGAAGTCCGCTTCTTGGAGGTAGATTTCTTGGAAGCTGCTGCTTTTTCGGCCTTTATAATTCTTTTCTCATCTTTGGAGTCTTCAGCCAGTGAGTCTGCGACGTATTTGACTACTCCCCAGCCTAACTCAGTTCTGTCGGCGATACGGATGAGCTTATAGGGTCGTCACGAGAGTCAGTATTGATTCAGTGTTGTTAGCAACTTTATTCGCAAGAACGACCAAGAAGGTTGGTGATAGAATTGTAAGCTAACTGTTGACTGAAGTGGAGAATACAAAGCCGACTATTACCGAATACTGGATACTGAGGGGCTGTACAATGGTGCAGGACTTATATACAGTTAGAAACAGGATGTAGTTAAAGTCACAAAACTTAAGAAAGGAAAGTCTTAGTCACATGTCTTAGCTGGATTCTTAGAACAATGACTGTGAATGAATAATTTCACCTTAAAACAAAGTCCTTGGTGGATGATAGTACAAGCTTAAATGAAGCATGCTGAAGTGTGCCTAGCCTCTGGGCTAACAAGGTCAAATAGGCGGAAACAACATACCCTGTACAAGATACTGTGTGGGTGTACTCTTACAAGGAAAATGCAGTTAGTAATGTGTGTAAGAAATGACAAACAGGATATATACAGGAAATGAAAAAGTTGTCAAAGTTAAAAACGAAGATTCTGAATGCTTAATTCACCAAAAGAAACAAATGCAAATAATTCAAGTAATTGTGCAGAAAACGCTACAAGCTTCTGCCTTTCTTTAATAAAGCGCCTTCTTTGCCTCGGTAAGATTTGACTTGGCCTTGTCAATATCCAACGATTCGATGCTTTGCGCGGCCGATTCGACCATATTCAGATTTTTTTCGCAGTGTTGGAACTGTTGCTGATTTCCCTCGCACTTGAATGTAGTTACTTCGGACAGGTGCTGTTTCTTGCACGCGTATTCCACGTGCGACTGGATGTTGCTGTCGTTTATTTGCCGGTAGGAGTGCTTGCGGTCCTGCTCGGACATTGTGATGCGAGGGATAAGTAGATTGAATGGTACGGTCGGCTGCTGGACCGAGAGTGAATTGCGAGCCTATCGAACAGTTAAATATACACGCTCTTTACATATTAGCGCGATCGCGAGCTGAATAGCTCATGTGCGAGCTGAATAGCTTGCACGTGTCGTTTGAATTCCACTTCCAACGACCTGGCCAAAATTGACCAGATCGCGGAGCTTAATCCGGAGAAGCCAGTGGTGGAATTCTCGCTTCCGGCCACTTCAGACCCCATGTCCAGACATACTGCCAACTTGGCAGTACCAAGTAGCAATAAATCATTTGATACCGCATATAGGCTTCAGATTATTTTAAACAGTGTGTATAGTATGAGCATGGAGGAATCTCCTTCCTCCATGGTATGAGCAAACTTTCAACCACGACTACATTTTAAACATTGACCTTTCCTTTCAAAATTCAAATGCTCGTGCCAATATGTAATCACACTCAAACCATTACTCGAATTAAAACGAATCACAGAATCAAAACGGTTAAATTCAATTGAATATTTCCAAGGTGCCACTCTAAAAATCAAAGATACACGATACACGATAGATTCAAGTTTAAATTTCATTCTCCCTTTTCGAATGACTTCGATATGATCTAACGAATAAGTTTGCTTTTTTTGCATTTGCAGGTCTTCACACAATAACTCTTAAAACTGGTCTTAAATATTGCACTCATACCACGCTCCAGTTCCGGAAGTTTTGATCGAAGTGCTTCAGATATTCATATTAGTGGCGTAATAGCCGATCGTTATGTTTACTTTAGGCAAAAAAGTCTGTCGTCTCTGGTCAGCGCGCGCATCGATTTGAAGCATGCTCATCAATCCTTTTTCCCCTCTGCAGCAGCGCCCTGCTGCAACAGCGCCCTCTATTGCCACACTGCCTCAACATTTTACGGCCAGCTCGATCTTTCACTCAGGGCGATAGATCCCGAGGAGGCAAATGTTAAACAATGATAAGTAGACTATGGAGATTTGTTTGTTGTCAGCTTATTGTCATAATACAGCTGGTCTAGTTCCATGACTCGTCAACGTGTGTCTGCAATTGTCTGTACAATCTCACACTGGAGGGGGGGATGTAGTCGCGTTGCCGCGGTGTCAATTCCGCAACATTAGTCTGACTAGAGACAAACTATTTACTTTGGCCTTAAGTCCAAGTTCAAGAACATAATACTGCTTACCTTGATGCCCTCTGCCACACGACAGACAACGTATCGATAGTCCCCAAAGTGCTTTTTGGGATGAAAGCTTTTGTTGCCACAAACAAAGCTACACGGAGCGTGGAGAGAATATAATATCTGTTCGATCTGCCCCAAGGCTTTGATTTGGGACACCTGGGCTTTGTTATCGTTATTCGTGTATTGAGTATGAACTCCCCTGTACAAGAGAATTTCGGGCTAATGGCTTCCGGGTGGATCCTGCTTCGATACTGACCACTAGTAAGTGCCCATCCTACAGTGTTGAGAGCACATTGGAACTCCGGGACTGATCCTGAATTTGCAGGATTCACACTAAGGAGACAAAATCATGCGTTTAAAAGATAAACATTCGCCCTAAACAGAACAATATATGCTAAGGTTAAGTTGGGACCTCCTGTTGCCCCGCTCTGAGACTTGGGGATCTTGAAGAAAAAAAGACCCTGTAGACCCAATAGGCTGCAGTTTAAATATATAGGTTATAAAAGAAAATTCTACCCCTCACCTAAGGAATTACAAGTAGTAGTCTGTAAGGGGAGGGGAGGTCTCTGTTGATACTTAACTGATACACAATTTCTTAAGCATTGGTGTAAGTAGTTAAAATTGCATACCTGAGTTGGTAGATTACAAAGGCACGTCTAAGCGGTGGTAGCAAGTTTCGGGAACAACCCACCGCAGTCACCGCCGTCGCCGCCGTCCATTCCCGTCACTTCACGCCTAACTAGAACAACTAATTAACATGACCCTTTCCCTCTTTTGCTATTGTTTGCAGATAGTTCACCCCTTTTGGGACTCTGTACCTTCCATTATATTTGTTCTTTAATCTCTTCCTACCTTGCATCCCTTTGTTGCTTAACCAGGCCTTTGACGCAGTCCCCTTTTCGCCGCACATCTATCCTGCCATCAGCTTTCCAACCTGCTTTGCCCTTCTGCATAATATCCATGCTAAGTTGGCCTTGCTTGCTTGTTTGTCTCTGCCCGGTTGTTATTTGCGTTTGAGAAAGTTTCTGAAATTATCGAAACGTCAGGCCCACCAAATTTTTGTCATGATTTAAATTCCAAAGTGCTAAAATTCACTCTATTCGAGTGAAAATTCACCCAATCGGATTGAATATCAGGACCAGATAAATTCGAGTAAACTTTCTTGCCTCCATTGTATCTAGATTTCAATCCAGTTTCCTGTAGAAAGGGTTCATTTTCGAAGTAGTTGATCTAAATTCAGAGTGATTTCAATTCTAAAATGTGCAGTCCTAGTTTCAATCTCGATTTAAAGGTTAAACATCTAAGTGTACATGTACGTGTGTAGTGTTGGAATTTTTTTCAGCTACAATTTAAAAAACGCATTCGTGTAACATGTTTACTGCCTGAAGGCGGCCTTTAGTTTGAATTAGGATCAGGACGCTCTAATTCTAAAATCGAAATTGATTGTTGCTGATTACTTCTCTGGATCGATGAATTGAGTGATGGTCTCATAAAATGGCTCATGACAAATGCAGACCTTGGATATTATCAGTTTAATTTGAAAACGTATTTTGGAGGTGCCAAATATCTAAACATGGACAATACAGTAGCTCCCCTTTGCCCGTTTACGGATGTAAAAACACCTTTCTCCAAGTTGGTTTACACAGGGTAAGTTTGCATTAGGTAGGGGTGGGGGTACTGCCTGGTAGAGTTTGGTGGAATGAAAATTGTTAACACGAGTTTTATACGTGCTAATCTAGTCTGTGTTCTTGTTGGTATATCCAGGTGATGCTTTCTACGACGAGGTTCGAAACATCAACACGCACAACAATCACAACTTCTCAACCTTTGACCGAGACAACGACGAAGATTCTGGCAACAACTGCGCTGAGAAGCACCACGGAGGCTGGTGGTTCAATAAGTGCAAGTCCGTCTCTGCTTGGAATCCAGACGTGACAAGTAACCTCAATGGCGAATATTCCACAGATAAGTCTGGTATTCCTGCTCATCCTGGATGGAGTGCAGGAGACATGTCCGCAACAATATGCGAGAGTGAAATGAAAATGCGAAAGATGTTTAGATAACTACTGTATTTCATTTATTTAGTGCAAAACATTGCACTTGACATTTCACTGACTTCTAGAGGGGTTGTTTACATTGAACATTCTTGCAGCGGAAGTAAAATCACACATTAGGAGGTGACTAAGGCACCTGTTGTAATGCTTTTGCCCTGATTCCCTAGGAACATGATTTAGAGATGACAAACTCAACTTTTCAATGATTGAAACGTGCCCATTTGAGTGCGCCTGCAAAAAGTAGGAAGTGAGGAAATGCATAGTATTAAGGGAATCACAGCAAACGGAAATATATTCAACATTCACATCTGTCTGATATGTTAAGAAAACGTAATTTGGTTAAACACTATAAATAATACTCTCTGACTGTGTTATGTCTGATCTTCAAAGAAGAAATGTTGCTCGACGATACCACTTTTCTGTAAAATACACAAAACAGATTAGCAGGCTTTCAGTTACACGGCAATCTGGAGCCTTTTTGCCTCACAATAAATAGTGTGATTTTTTTTCAACCTATAATTATTTGCTTTTGGAGAAACTGGAGATTTGTGACCGTAAACACATCGAAGGACTAAACGATCACTTTATGCTAGAAAAGTTACTCCTCATGGTTTTCGATGCTTAGCGCTATCTGCATCCAACTGTGAATGCTTGTTCTGTCGCTTCAGACGCAGGTCATTCCATGTCAAATCATACAGTGGGTCAAACCCGACCCATTTCAAACTTGTTTATGTTTAGTTCATGAGGAAATCTTAGCTGAAAAAATCTTTTTTATTTTAGCCCTATTCGACCAACGGATTTCATGCTAAAGACTAGCATGTTGGCGGTTTTTTAATATTGCATCATGGGAATATGCAATTGACTGTGTTAGGAATATTAATTTGCCATTATACCTTGGCAATCCCACATAAAGGCAGCAGATGAAGCTGTCTTTCTTGAAATCAAGTTGCACTGTGAGTTTAGGTTCTGACTCTGCATCATTTTCGGCTGGAATTGCAAATTAGCATGATATCCAGAGTGGTTACTTGGTAGATCAATTCGTACAAAATGTAGGCCTAATGCAGATTTGGAGACGGGAACAAACCTGCGATATTGCAGTATCCCTTTCATTGTATTTGCCGTATTTAACCTGTCCTTTAGTTCAAAAGCTGATTCAATCAAATCTTCTGGTGTCACAATGAAAAAATTGATACCGGAGATGATATTCTTGCAGAGATCCGTGATAACATGCTGTGTCAGAATGTGGTCGTTATATAGGCACTAAAAAGAAAAGGTCAAATATGATTCAAAAGGGGATCGTATTTTGACCCGGAAAGGGGTCAGGCCCCACGGGACTCAGATTCCGCGTCAGTCTGACCCTGGGATTTTTAGAGTGAACTGTGAAGTAGTGGATGTTTTTCAGAGAGAGAGACTCACACTTCAGGTGTTCCATACACATAGACCACGACGTCCAGGAAAAACCAGAGATAAAAATTTATCCTGAATTGTCATACTCAAACCTTTACCGTTCAGTTGTCTGACATTTTGTTTCCAAAACAATACCTCAATTTTGGCTTCTTCAGTCACTTTGACAACGGACTATTTACCCAGGGATGGGCAACTTAAGCTTAGAGCCAGTTCAGTGCGTGTTACGGCCGGCACAATATCAAAGCAGAAATTAAGTTAGATTATGTAACACTTTCTCTAATAATAAAACATATATTCCTATTTACCACTTATTTTTCTTGTAGTATTTT